GGAAGGGGGGTTCCGATGGTGGATTTGCGAGGTCGGCCGCGGGGGCGCGGCGCAGGTGTGGAGACGTCCCGCGGCGGTTGTGACGAGGGGGGATCGGTGTTTTTTTGTGGTGTGGACATGGTCTGTGAGGGGCCTTGAGGGCGCAGAGAGACCAATTAGTCCCACCCAAGGAAACAAAAAAGAATTAGTTTCCTTCCACTTCAGAAAAAATAAAATTTAAGAAATCTCGCCTGAACAAAGGCATTTAAAATGCGAGAGAGAGGCCAACCCCATCAGAAAACGGAACACTCAAACTCCGTGCCGCTTCTGGGGGCGCAGGGACCTCCCCCCTACACGAACTGAGTCCTGGGAAATCCTTCCAGGTCCGGCCACAGGAGAAAAACGGGAAAAAACGGGCCCTTGACCACGGTTGCTATGGGCAGGCGGGGCGAACTGCTACGTGTTGGGAAGAACGTAGCCCCACTAAAACTACAGAAAGTTCCCAAAACACGTTCCCCCCAACAAAAACACTTTCACTACCCACTAGGGGTCTGAAGGAACTGGTTGGGAAGAAATTTTAAAATGGGGGTGACCCTATTCGTCAAATTTTTAAAACTTAAAAAATATTAGAAATGGAGGAGAGCAACGTGACGTGTTCTCTCCTCGAGCGCCCTCTTTCTTCCTCTTTCTTGTTTCGTTATTTGATTTCTATGATTATTATGTATAAAAAAGTATGATTTTAACTTGCTAAGGTCGATATGAAGTAAATTGATTGATTTGAGTAACATTATCGTTCATTTTTATCATTATTAATTATTTTTAATTTATTATCTGTCCCTATTGAAAAATTTATTATTAGTATTTTTTTCAAAGTGTTCTCCCCGCATTCCCGGGTTGGTGGGGTAAGAAATTCCAGGCATGCATGGTTACCAGGTTCTGATTGAAATTTTTATAATTATTATCAAAACTGATGACGAAATTCTTAAAATGTTGAATTTTAGAGACAAAATTTCGGTAAATAATGGAAATTTACGAATTTTTCCCATCTAAAAATTTTCCATGGAAGCGTGACATTTTAACCACCCTGTACTATGATATATAATTCCCAATAAGGCAAAACATTAGAAGTAAGACGGTAGATTCAAGGCCAATAATTTGAAAAAAGATGGCATAAATTTCATGATATATGACTTGGAACAATTCAGTAAATTGTAGTTTTGGTTTATTTAAAGAAATCCTTACATATTATTAGTTAACTAGCCTGTAGGCCCGTCGTAAAGACGGATGTTTAATGGTTCTAAAAACGAGGAGCAACTCTCTGTACATTTTCGGCGATAATAGTTGATTAAAAAACATGTACATACCTCAACCCGTTACGTGGCCAACCTTTCCAGCCCTTGGGGACCATCCATGGGCAGCTAATGAAATATACTGCACCGTTGGACCCAAGACGAAGGAGGATTTTAGCTGTAAGATGTTGCTCATGTCACCATAAAGAACAAAAAAACACATGTGTCATGAACCCTGATTTCATATCACGGAGCGTGCAGAGCTGCTCCTGATATTTCACTTACGATCAGGATTGAGTAGTCATACTCATTGTACCAGGGATGATAGCGCGAATCTTGGCATATCTTCTCAACATGGATAAGTTGACCACCGCGTCCATCTGATGATCCAGCTCGGGCGGATAAAGGTCTTTTGATTCCTTTTTGATTGATTATGTTCTACAAGTGGGAAATAATCTCACTAGGAACACAAGGGAAGTGTGACCCCGACGAAGCAATGCCACTATATGCATTCGATGCATTTTTCAATTGTAGTCCGACGATGTAGCAAAATTCCCGTGAAAAAACGACATTTGGTCACGCTGTGACGAAAGGGCAAAAGGAAGCTATTTACTGCTGGTGGGGTCGTGTGATGTGGTCGATGCGCTCACTCATACCAAGTCATGCACCAATGTTACGCCTTTATGTACAAACTCGATGAGAACATGGGGTTTTTATAAATTCTCACCTTCATTGTGTCAAATTTCAAAAAGTTTTAAATTTGTGAAAAAACTGGAAATTTTTGAAAAACAAAATTGCAATTTTTGAATAGATTTGAAATTTTTGTTATTTTTTGAAATTAAAAAAAAAATTGCAATTTTTGAATAGATTTGAAATTTCTGAGAAAAATTTGAAATTTTAGAAATTTTCTAAATTTGACAGTAAAGGTGAGCATAAATAAGAAGTCCACTATATTTTGATCGAGTACATAAAGGCGTCACATTCGTGCATGATTTGGTATGAGTGAGCGCATCGTACACCCCACTTTCAACAAAGATGTGATATGGATATTCCGCAGCACTCGTTGCATGTCCGCCAGAAATTCGTAAATTGTTTTTAATTCCTGCTCCTGCGATGGTTAAATTTGTTGGGTGACCTTAACGGAATTCAGTAATGTATCATTTAATCTAAATGATCTTTGGAAAAATAGTTTGTGATATTGTCCTCTATACCTTCCACATTTATGAGGGATATCACGGTCACCATAATTGTGAGAAGAAGCGCGCAACGTTTCATGTTGGAATTTAACGTATAGTAGTTATGAAATTAGTTTTGATTTAAAACAAAATCAAGGTTTCAGTGATTTTTTTTACTAAGATTTGGAAAATTATTGATAAAGTAACGAATAAGTTATGAAGTGGATGGCTAAGTTTATTTATATGTGTTTTGACTGATGGCTAAATTTGCATGGAACGTGTTATTACATACATGAAAATATGTTAGGAGCCAGACTGCTTTGGAACAATGGTCAATTACAAACTGAAATGCAATTGTTAGTAAAGGAAGCTATTCCGGACAGGTGCAACATGACGAGAAAGTGCAGTGAAATAGATTTTGAAGTGGTTCATTTGTAAGGTAAGTTATGCAGGAATATGTTTACTTATAAATGAACTAGAGTTTAGTGAATCGATAATGTTTGATGGTACCTAAGTACTAATTATGTTGAGTTAGGTTTCTGGAGGTATCTTGAACCCTGGGTAGGTATAGTCCCAGGTTACATATTGAACACAAACTACGTAATGTATTCACTAGGAATCCCAGCTGGAAATGACAGATGCTATGGCATAACCAGGTGGAGTTCGGGTCTCGGTTTCTCGGTTACGTCCACTAGTGGTATTGCGACAGTCTGAAGAGGATATGAAGCTTGAATCATAGGTAAAGTAAATCCATCACTATCAAAGAATGAGAAAAATATGTGGGAAAAATGGTTCGGACATGGACACATATTCAAAAAATATTTATTCATTCAAAGTTCATTTATTCAAAGCCTTGAAAAAATATTTATTCCTTATTCACTCATTCATGATTTTTAAAACAATATTAATTAATTATTAAACATTTATTCATTACAGAGGCTGAACGGGCGAAAAATGACCACTTAAATATGGCTCTCAAATTTGCATGGGTTGACCGAATTCGTCAGAATTTGCAAATGTTGTCAACAAACCCATCTGCTTGTATTCCTAATTTTTCTAAAATTGTATTTGAAAAATGAAGAAGCATTATACCTCAGAAGCGGAGGTAGTGGTGAAGACACTTTCCTGAGAGGGTAACTCACAAAGAAAGACTGAACCAACTACAAACCGACGAATTTGAGTTCAATCAGGTATATATATACATCGTGGGATAGTAGAAAACACCAGACATTGACAAAAAGTGAATCAGTACCTGCTAGAAGAACACCCATTTTAATGGACCAAAATGGTGATATATCGTGTCAAAAAAGATGTTGGCAAAGAAAACTCCAAGATTCAAAGGACAATTGTAAGGAAGATTGAAACATGTCAAGACACTATTAGAAAAATTAATCATGAAGATTTGGATAAGCAGATTCCTTGAGAAACGAAACTCCAAGCTTGAACCCATCACAAACTCAAAATCGTAAGTCCAACGCTAAGAAGCCATCGAAAGTCACCTGCCGATAATCATCAGTGAATATACTTCCACAGCCAATGAGGCCTGACATTACCCTAACTATTGGCAAGATGAGAGAAAAATGTGTTCCCTGGAAGCCGGTGAAAAGTTTGATGAAATTTGGAATTACAATGCATAAAAAAGTGTTTGAAAAAAATGGTGGTTGGAGTTCTGTGTGGCAGAGAACCACTCCCCTTAATGGAGGAACCACTAAATGTAAAAATTAACTCACAATTATGTATTGGCAATGATTTGAAGCCATTGCTGGGAGTTCATCTTACTAAATTGGATCCTGGTGAAATTAACAAGATTTTCACTCATGATGGCAAAATATTATGTCACACTTAGAAGAAAGTCTTATATTATGCAACCTCTATTCATCACCAATTTGGGATAACCACCATTTTCAATAAGGACAATCATGGTTAAGTCGCTTGATATGCCACCATTTGATTTTTTCGGTTTTGGATATTCAAAACAACGACTTTCATTACGACCGAGATGACATTTTATGGTCTCTGGAAAGTTGCTCGACGCGAGTGCGCCGGAATTTTGCTTGAAACCGGCTAAAACGTGTTGTCGGGTTTCAAATCAAGATGCAGGGAGGTGAACAACAATCACATTGAGAACAAAAATAATTCGACAAAAATTTTCCTCTAATACGAAAAATAATTTAAAAGTAGTCTTTTTTCGCCCGTTCAGCCTCGGTATTCATTTTATTCAAAATTCACAGTATGTAGTAGATGAATTTCTCGACTTTCCTTATGTATTAAGCATAGAGTTAAAAATGAATGATGAAAAAAGTATTCATTCACACGAATTGAATAGATATTCACTCAATATTCATTTATTAAAAAATCGGAACAAAATATTCATTTAATATTCCTTCAACTTTTGAATATTGAATGAATAATGTTGTCACTCATTATTAATTAAATGAATGTGAACATGTACGCGGTCAGTAAAAAAAAATGGGAAAACCTGTCGTTGGGAAGAAATAATTAAAAATTGTCACGCTAAATAATGAAATTAATTAATCCTTTCCTCGACATCCTATTGTTACATAGATAAGGGTTTCATTATATTCAAACTTCACGTAATACGAGCCATTTTATAACACCAGATAATACCCTTTGCAAATTTAATATTTATTATTTTCGTGACCGATTGACAATACTTCGGATAAGAATAATAATAATAAAAATCTCAGATTCATAATTCCGGGATGGAGTTCATAACATTCGATAAGTACATATTTAGTTATCTCAATTTTTGCAATAAAATAAAATCTACATTCTGTGCACCGTTGCGACGTCCATCTGGCAATTTTCGCAAGAGTGAACCGTGTCCCCACACTCATTATCGCAGCAGTACGGAATCAAACAGAATGGACAACCTCTTTAAAGGAAGCAAGTTGGCATTTCAGGAAAACTTATATTGCCAATTTTAATGAGGTGAAACTTACACGAAGCAGCAAAGACAAAGGGCCCAGCAATGTTGACAACTTCCCGTCACTCGTCTGGTGCGTGTCAGCATGTCAGCTCTGCAATGAGGACAAACCGTTCGCTGAGGATTGTGGTCCGAAATTCCTGGTAGGATGACTACCCCTAGAATAATATTTGACTGTTAAACCAAATTTTAAGTCACAGTGGCGAACAAATTAAATTGCATGGTAGAGAAACTGTTCTAAAAAAGCGAATTTTAGAAAATTTAACATTGCGCTTATGGAAGAATTTGGTAAAATCTGCTAAATTCGTTTTTTTTTAATTCTTAACTTTCTTCAAAAACATCATAGAGAACTAAACAAAATACCAAAATTTTCACATTGAGTTGAGCTATCGAATAAAAAATAAAGCCTCCAAGGAAAAAAAATCATAGTCAGAGTTGAAAAATGAGCTTCTGGGGCAAAAATTGTGACCTTTGACTTTTTGAGATTTTTTGAAAACAGGAACGGTATCAAACGACAATCTTTCTGGGGTAGTACCTTGCAAATTTTCAAGCCCTTATATTCATCAATTTGCAACAGTTTTTCGAACGAACAATTTTATTGCTCGCCACTGTAACTTCCAAAAAACTATTTATTTTTGACATACTAGTTGCTACTGGAACCTGAACGGACGACACACTGACGTGAATCTGATTCGACGTTGCAACATCCTTCTTAGCAAGTGGGCCGTCATCATTTCCAGTACTTGCGGCTTCGTATGGGGGAGCGGTTGCTGCCGAGGAATGTACCACAGGTTGTTGACCATCCAGATAAGGATAAGGTGGTGGTGGGTCGTAAATTTCCAAAACTGGGTATCTTGGGTCAGCCATAGTATTCGCCTTGTGGTAGATTAGTAAATATTTTTTCTGCTAATTTGACAAAAAAATAATTAACTATGACTTTGATCTTGCGATTTCATACTGATTTAAGGAATTATACGTTCTTAAATATTCGAACCTTAAACTACTATGTAGGAAAAGTCCCAGGGATAATTTTGAAATAACTTCACTCGAATTATCTAGATATGTTTGGAAATTCAATTTTACCGTCGTAAATTACAAGACGAAATAAGCTACTGACTCACTTCACCTGTTTTTTCTTAGAAACTATGGCCAACGTCACGCTATACATTCCTTCTCTCTTTCTCTGTTTCTCTTCCCTTTTCTTGGCCAACACATGCATAACAGTACGAGAATCCCCTATCTTACGTGTGTGATAGTGATGGTGGCAAACAGTAAAGGGCCATCCATATATTACGTCATCAAAAATTCTCGATTTTGGCACCAAACGTAAACATTAAAGCATATGGAATTTTAACAAGGGGAAGATAAGAAGGCCTAAACCCCCCACCCACTAAAATGATGACGTAATATATGCACGTTCCTATACGGGGAATTGCTTACGTTTGTATAGTGGACTGCCTGTTGTAAATTAATATAGGATTTTTGCACGACTTGAGCATAGAAAAGCATACCGAGTCTTATTTAAATGAATTCGCATTACCAAGAATTGCTTGCGAATATTTTAAATCAATCATTTGTTAGCATAGACAATGCAGAAAATCACGAGCGAATATATGTATACTGCAAAAGCCGAGTTGAAAAAATTAAAGCTATATTGAGCCATCGTAACTAGTGACGCAAGCCTTTCACTCACAGATAGATAAATAAATTCATAAATTATACAGTGATCACTGATCGACGTGTATCGTCTTTACTGGCCGGGTTTTATTTACACGTATCTACATACGTGTGCAAAATTCATAAATACATTTGTTTTTCATACACTGAGAAATGCCAGCAGTATGTTTTAGTCTGTGCGTTATCATGCTAAAAAATATATACATACCTATTTATGGAAAACTATGCTTTATTTAATCTTTTAAATGTGTAATCATATACAGGGTAGTTTAAACGTCAGGTTACAATGGAAAATTTATCAACGGGAAAACTTCTCAAGTATCGCAAATTAGTTACCGAAATTTTGGCTCTGAAATTCAATATTTTAAGAATTTCGTGTTCCATAAGTTTTGAAAAAAATTGAAAAATCTGAATCCCAAATCTGAAAATTTAGGAAATTTTCCCATTGAAAAATTTTATATTGTAAATATAAAATTATATATTATATTTTAAAAATTATCCATTGTAACCTGACATTTAAACAACCCTGTACATAGATTCATTCAGTAATTCATGATGTCAGGGGCATATGCCAGGCAATTGCCAATGTTTGGTTTTACATACATTAAATTAATAAAATATAAATTAATAAACATAAATTCCTCCGAAAGTATTCATTGTGTTATTCGTGATTCTTGCCATATACATTATGTATAGTACATAGAGGAATATATGTAATTTGGGGCGTGGCATAACTCTGGAATACTTAAGTTTGTAACCGCATTTCATCTATGTACATATAAATTCACTTGCACTAAAAATCTCCTTTTGCCCCAACAACACCCCCTTGTCCACAGGGGGGTGATCAGATTGACCCCAAAAGTTGATAGGAATGATAGGATCCTCCATTTATAATGACCAATTTGGATTATCTCGATCCGGTCAGTGACAGGTGAACTTTTTGTATGCGGTGTCAGATGTGGGTGACGATCCGTAAATCAACTTAGCAAAGTTTTTGCGAGCTCCGAAGTTACGAAAACGCTGGGGCGCCATTATTCCTTTGCCTAGGGCGCCACATTACCTAGAACAGGACCTTCGTTAGAGCGAATAGTAGCTCTGAGTTAAGCTTACTAAAATTGTTGCACGAATACTTGCGTGTTTGGTTTGCTACATATTTCATTTCGATAAAAGCATGGTGCTTCTGAAGGCAAACTTAACTTTAGTCCGCCCTCTGCTACGTGGACACGATAAGTTGAAAACTTGGTGCAAAAATATATTTCTGTCTTTTCAAAACATCATCATTTGCAGTTTAACCTGTTTTTCTTGCACAAAAATAATGTATTTCTGGCACAGAATGGTTTTTGTGATGAACACAATGTTTCTTGTTCTAGTGAATGCCGAGGAATACCATAAATTCTATGATCTGGATGGACTGGAAAGTTGCACAAAGCATTTTGTCGTATTCTACCCATACCCTGAAAATTTGGATAATACAGAGTTAAAAACAAGCGACCGGGGCTCAGGTAAATTTCATAAAGATTTTATAGAAACAAATTTGAAGATGTACGATTTGAATTATGGAGGTTTGGTAACGACAGATTCAGATTGGGAAACATTCGGTAATAAAGACTTGGATTCAGAAGAATTTGACAAGGATAATTTGAATAGGGAACATTTGAATAATATTGGTTCGGATCCGGAAGGTACATACATATATGCATTCAGAACAATTAAATAAATCCTATTTAAGCAAAATAAATTTATAGTTTGACTGCCTTCAAAAAGAAATTTGGTTAATGAAGATGTTTTTTTTTAGGCTTGGAAAATTTGGAAAAAGAGGATTTTATCCGGAAACAGAAATCGACCAAGAGAGGAAAAAACCTAAAAACTTTAGACTTTATAGAAAAAATTATACTTCTCAACTATTTCCACCAGAACAATTTAACATCTCGTTACACCGTATTCACGACTGGAATCTGGAACTTGAATCCATATCACGCTTCTTATAATAATTCCAACCGAATTTTATGGGACGGGGCGTGTTCCGCAATGTTGTTTATGGGACTTGAGGATATTTTAGCTGCAGAAGTGTACAAGCATTTCTTAATCTCAAACCCATTAACGCAGCGTTCAGAAACGACATATATTTTCATTTATAAAGAACCTCAGCCGCACATATTTATGGTACCACCACCTTTTTACAGGTCACCGGCAGCAATATTTTTCTTAGTTACGAATACCCAAGAAGACGGCACAATCAACTTGCATGCTAACGATTTCTATATATATTGTGCTTTTTGTATGCCACTAGCCGTTACTGTAACAAATTACCAATTTTTTCCTCCCCCAGATCTTACAAGTTACTGGAATCTAGACATAATAAGTGTATTTGTACGCGATGATAGCTCTATAATAGTTAAGGGCATGGTTGATGAGCTAGAGCAAACATCAACTTGCGCATCATCTCCATGGGCCGTGGAGCCGGACGATGTGGGGAAATTTAAGACACAATTTATGGCTCAGCACTGCCCAACACGTATGGTATTGGTTCAAACTGTAGCGGCTTATTTTAACTTTACAAAATCCCTATATTACGATGCTTGGCAAGCATTGAATATTCAATTAGGTGGAACTATAATGATTCACGACGAAGAATTTGGAGTCATACCAGGCAATATTTTTGTTTCGATGGGCAGCATGGATATATTTTACTGCGCGGAAGAGTACATGGTGAAGAACAGTCTTTCAAAAGTTATGGATTGGGTAGCCCCGTTTGATTATTGGATTTGGGTTTTAATTACGGCAACCTTAGTATTGAGTGGAATTTTGATAACTGTAAAATATGACTCCATAAACATCTGTAAACTAATTAGGGACAAATATTTCTCAAACCTGACCTCACTGGCGAGAGAGTTTCTCCGTCAGCCAGCTCCGGATGAGAAGCATGTCGTAACTACCATGGTAGCGGTGGTAGCCTTTTTCTTACTTCTTTCTTATGAAAATTATATCACTTGTAGTTTAGTAGCCCCGATGAGGCGAGCACTATTGCATAGTCTAAGACAATTAGTGGACCACGGATTTCAGCTCAACTATCCAAGCAATGAGCTCTTTGGAGCAAATTTGGAAGACGTTTTAGGTTCTATTGATGACTTAAGTGAAGCAGAAGAAGAGTCTACCAATGTCCGAAATAACAAATCCCACTTACACGACGAATACTTAGCACAGTTTTGTAAGAATTTTGCTAAAGAACTGAGCAATTTAGGACTTGAGAACTGTCTCCAGGACCAAATGATGTTTCAGCCTGATATAAAGAAAATGTTGTCACAAGTAATAGCAGGTGGGAAATTTGCTATCATCGACCTGAGTCGAAGAGGTGAGTTTAGGTTCGTCATGGAGACAGCACTTCTGGAAAAAAAATGCTACACTGTTGACACTCTAAGCATATCACCAGAATTTGACAAATATTCTATCCAGGGTCAGGAGAAGGTTGGAAGGTTGTCTAGTTACCTGGCAGTATCTGGGATTTCTTGGTTTTGGGATGGCTTATACAAATCCAAGTATATCCTGCTGGATATTGCGAAGGAGTTGAAAACTGTGGAAAATTTGGACAGCGGAATGATTATACTTAAGGATTTAGAGTTGTTTCTTCTTGTATCCGTAGCCATGCTTAGTATGACAATTGTGGTTTTCTTGATGGAATGCCACGATGCAATTGGAAGATTTTGCAAGAAAATGTTTCAAAAGTTAAGACATTATGTTTTAACATTGTAATTTGTTGGGATGCTCCAACATATCCAAAGGGTATCGAGATCTGTGGGTGGCAACTAGTGAGGTTCCCCTTCTTATGATATATCATAAACTATTCAGTTTGATATTTTTGGACATGATGTATCGAAAATATCCCGTATTACATAATATTTTATGAAATTTGACATACATATGTTCCCATTGTGAATTTTCAAATTTGAAGACTCGTACATACATTTAAAATCTGCAAAGTTTATCAATTTGAACGGTTGAACCTGGACATCAAAATTTGTTGTATTGGTACTTTTAAGTTATTGACCACACAAACTCTCAATAAACATCCCCAATATATATCAATGAAATTAAAATATTCTACACTATTTATTTCATTCAGCAGGCTTCACAGAATTGAACATTATCGAATTATGCGGTCACACTTTCAATGAAAAAAAGGTTATAATTTTATTAAAACGTTTTATTAAAGACTTATAATGGTACGACAGATGTGTTAGACGAGTATTTACAATAGATAATATATATTAATTGTGATAATAAATATTTATAGCCGTGGTGGATTGGAGAAATAAATTACAAGTGTACGAACTTCTTTTCGTTTGATTCAAAATGAGTGCTTCTGGAATACCTGCGCACATAATTGACTCATCAATTCTGACACCAAATGTCTCAGATAGACCTACTCATCTGTTCATTCACAAAGACATTATTAGAAATTGGGAAACAAATTCCGGACATGCCGCATAATTTAGGATAACTC